ACCTTACCCGGGGCGTCGTGCCCAGCCCCAGCCGCATCAAGCAGCTGGCGGAGGCGCTGCGGACCAACCGCTCCGTCCAGTCCCTCTTGTGAGTGCGCTCCCTCGCGAGGGGTCCCAGGCGCTGCACCCTTCCACGTGCTCCCCCGCCACCTCCTGATCTTCCGCGCACCTCCGGTGCCCGTCTTCCCGCCAGCCTCCCTTCCCGCCCCTTACACGCACACCTCGTCCCCTGCCCGTGCCTCCGAGCACCCTCCCGGAGCACCTTATCTCCGGACTTTGCACGCGGGGCCTCACCCGACATGGGCCGGCCTCCCCTTCTGCAGAGCCTGTCGTGCCTCCCCACCTGCATTTACTTCTCTGGGGCAGTTGCTCAGTTCCCAAGAACACACCCGTGTTGAGGGGTGGGGGGGCGCGCCCTGCCTTCTGCCCACTGAAGAATTCCAGGCCGTCACCCTTTCTCTGCCCCTCCCCATGCGGTGTCCTGGATCCCAGTCCCTGCCCCAGAAAAGACGCCGAATTCCCCTTCTACCTGTATTCACTTAGAATCTAGAATTTTCTCTTTCCCTTCCCGGGCTTCTCAAGTGCTGTGATGAGTGCCCTCCCCACCCCTAGAGTTTCCATGGATGAAGGGCTGATGCCTGCACTAACCCTGCTCTCCCCCTCACCCCCAGCCTGCATGGAAGCCCCCTGACAGATGCCGGCCTAGCGCTGCTGAACCCAGCCCTGGCCCTCCACCCTGCCCTGGTGGCTCTGGACCTGGGGGACTGCATGCTGGGTGATGAAGCCATCAACCTCATCTGTGGCCTCCTCCCCCCAGATGGGGCCAAGTCTGGTGAGCAGGGCCCTGCTGAGGTGTAAGCTGTGTGGCAGAGAGGAAAAGAGGGAAGGGGGCGTGGCCCAGAGCTGAGCAATCTGGCCTCCTTGTGAGAAGGGGAAGGGTGGGGGCTGAGCAGGGTGGAGACTCCGGAATCCAGACTGGGTCCGGCTGGGGAGGTATTGGGCCCTCGATGGCTCTGGAGCTTGGGGATGGGGGTGGGGTGGCTCTCGGCCACTGAGGACACCCGGAGACATGGAGGCAGGGGGAAGGGGCTCGAGGAGGGTCTAACGCTGCCCTGTATGCTGCCCAGGCTTGAAGGAGCTAACGCTGAGTGCCAACCCTGGCATCACCCCTAAGGGCTGGAGCCGCCTCGCCATTGCTGTGGCCCACAGCTCCCAGGTCCGCGTACTCAATCTGGATTACAACCCCTTGGGTGAGGATCAAGAAGACCCCCGTGGGTTCTCATGGCCTCATGCCCTGTCCCAGAGTCTGGGACTGTCAGCTGCCATAGTAACCCCTACACTGGGAGAGGGAAGAGGAAGGCGAGGCCCCAGGAGTCTAGGAGGTAGTAGAGGGGCCATCCTGCGTGAGGCTCAGGCGGCCAGCAGGTAGACCAGAGCGACCCCTGGGCCTGACTCACTTCACGCCTCCACTCGCCAATCTCAGTGGTCCCCTCCCGGCCACTCACCACCTCTCAGTGTCTGCGGGCCAGGGGCTGGGATCTGAGGTTGTGAGGGCAATGGGGACGCTAGCAGGCCTGAAGGTTAGCAGGCCTGTGAGCGCACGCAGATGTGTGAATATTTGTCGTCTCCCCAGGTGACCATGTGGCAGGAATGCTGGCGGTAGCTGTGGCCTCCAGCCGTACCCTAGAGGTCCTAGACTTGGAGGGCACAGGGCTCACTAACCAGTCAGCCCAGGTGAGAATTCGTCATATTTGGGGAGGAGCCAGGGGATGGGTGGAG